GCCAATTATACAGTAACGCATATTGCCATCACTAGCTGTCCATTTTTATATCGACCACAGAAAATAGTTTTGGGTAAATTCAGAGCAGCCAAATCCGTATTCAAGAGCGTATTAGTTGGTATTGTTCATTCATACAAAATTGCATTACATATGCTCCCAAAGAAAGATAAGAACGACTGAAAATTGGTGATTTCAGGTAATTTAATGCTGCTACTGTTACAAACAGATATCTCCCAATGTTTCACAGTCGCCATATTAGCTATAAAAGATAGAGACATCTTCTCCATGGTCTATCGCAAAGCCGCATATTTCCAGATTTCAGTGAACCTTGGCCACATCAATAAGACAGCTGTAGCCACTCCTTTCGACTTTTTGGGCTCAGGTAAACTGCACACATGACCCGGATATTAACGTATGAGGTCACTCTGTATCCCGATGGGGTAACCGTCCACAGTGATGAAATTCTTGCCCCTAGTGACATCATGAAGCGGAACAAGAAGCATTTGATGGCCCACTTTGAAAAACTATCCATGCATTATCTGGCTATCTCTCCTGAAAAAGGTGCTTTTGGCGTTGCCTTAATGACTTCCCTCGGACATTACAATGATATTTACGGCATGCTGAAAAGCCAATTGGGGATCCTGAGCATCAAAGTCTTCCCTATTCCACGAACCATCAAGGCTTAGGAGGTTTTCTTGGCATTGTCAATTTTTATCATCTCCTTCATGGCTGCGTGAGCATGCTAAACCCGTTAGAGAAAAACTTAAGGAAAAGATATCTTCCTATTAGAAAATGCACAGTGTATTTTCGGGCGTATTAAGTCAGTCCTTGCTGAAGTCACAACATATGTAGGTTCATCCTATGGCCGATGTCTTAGAGGAGACCATGAGTGAGGCTTATATAGCCCCCCAGCCTCTCGCCTTGTGCTCTGGATGAATTATTTCAAGCATATATTATTTGGAAGAGAATTTCAAGCCCTCACCTACCACAAGCCTCCATGTGAAGCTTTTAAGTGTTTCAAACAAGAACTCTCCATGCAAAGTTCGTTAGAATACATCAAACAGTTCATCAGCGACGAACACTAATTAAAAGGGGTAGACAATATGGTCGTGGACACTCCCCAGCAATTAACAGATTTTTGTTGTACATGTAGTACAAAAATGTGAGCACGGTCAAGTCGCCGCCCATAGTTGACCAAAGTTTACCACTGCTCAAGTAGACATTCCTGGTGCAACGTGTCC